TAGACATTATGTTGATAATGACCCATGAGATAAAAAAAAATTATTTGATACAATATAAAATGTATTTAGATAATATACAAAATTTGAAATAATTTACTTAATTGTAAAATGAATAATAATCATATAAATTTAATTGTATTAAATAATATTTATAAAAAAAATAAGTAATTCTGAGATGGGGAGAGAAAAGAATTAATACTAATAAATAATTTTGTCTCTCAAATTAAGCCAATGGTTGATTAAAATAAAATAGATATCGTATTAATAGTAACCTGTGAAATAAAAAATTGTTAATTTTATTAATGTTAAAAAATATATTATTAGTATTTTTAGTGATAATAAATAAATAGGGAAAAATTAAAATGAATGAGAAAGTGTGGGAAAAAGAAACGTGAGAGAGATTTAAAATTTTAATAAATAAAGAATAAGTGGATGTAAAAAATTTTGGACTCATCCGGATTCGATAAAGTTGTTCAACACGTTTTCGACAGTGCTCATTCTTGATTCTACCTATAAGACCAAAAGTATAGACTTCCTTTATTTGAGATGGTTGGTGTTACGTCTACTGAGAATACATATGATGTTGGTTTTGCTTTTCTCTAGTGTGAAAAAAAGGACAATTTTACATGGGCATTAGAGGTGTTTCAGTCACTTTTGAAGGACCAAGTTGACATGCCTAAAGCGATTATTACCGACCACGATACTGCATTGATGAATGTGATTGCAAAGCTATTTCCTTCTTCTAATACATTACTTTGTCGATATCACATAACAAAGAATGTGAGAAGTCGGTTTAAACCTGCGGTGGGGGCGAAATAAGTAGAGTCCGAAGGTGGAAAATTGGTGAAGGCCGGTGTGATCGTTAAAAAATAATGGATGCATGAAATCGTATACTAAATTCTTCCACAAAAGAATTATATGTCGATTCTGTCATTTAATTCTGGAAAGTGTGTGAAAAGTATCCTGCTTTTATGTTGAAAGCACCATTCTTGATCAGGTAAAGGAGAAATAGTTTATGTGTGGACTGATAATGCCTGACACTTTGGAAATACAACCACCAACAGAGTTGAGTCGGTCCATGCTAGTTTGAAAAATTGGTAGGAAAATAGCAAGAGGGATTTATGTCGAGATTGGGACTCCATAAATCTCATGATTTAAAACCAACATAATGTGATACAAACAACATTCGGCCGGAGTATAACGGTATTGGAACATCGATTTAAATATAACATTCTTTATTCTCAATTGATCGGTGATATGTCTCAGCCGAGGTTGAACTATCTTTTTCACGAGGCCAAACGAGCTGAAACTGTAGGTTTCGAATGCGCAAAGTGTGGTTGCACTATTGTGAAAACCTATGGTCTTCTGTGTGCTTGTGTTATTGCTAAAAAGTTAAAACTAGGTGACCCAATAATAATGAACGAAGTTTGCCCGCATTGAAAATTACTTAGTTTTGATGATGATGATGGTTGGATGGAAGAAGGTAAACTGAATATCTTTATTTTGACAGAATGGGAAGCAATACAAGAGAGATTCTCAAAGGCTGGTGCCAACATGAAGCTCCACATCAAAGAACAATTGAGGAAGATCTCATATCCCGGGACAACCGACATGAAATCTCCTTCTCAACCGGTAAAGACAAAAGATGCTCCAAAAAAAATGAAGCCTACACTGAATGATAACTCGATTACACGGTCTCCTTCTTAATGTGAGCACGTTGACAAACTTTATCTCGACTTACCGACTTCTAAATCTCAAAAAAATGTCATAAAAGGAGCCTACATAAGCAAATCGTCTTCGACCCGATTCCACCGAAAATTTCATTCATCGATGAGATGCTGGTTTTTATGCACAAATACATCTACTGTATCATTAATGTTGAAGGGGATGGTAATTACGGTTATCGAGTCGTTTTAGCTTTGCTTGGTAAAGGAGAGGATAGGCATGTGCTTGTTTGTCATCAACTAATTCAAGAGTTGAAGATGCGTAAAGAATCGTATACGCAGTTGTATGGAAAGAAAGAAATTTTTTATGTGGTTTATGAATTTCTTGTGCCTTGCTTGAGTGGTCTGGCACTGGTGTCGAAATGGATGACCTTCCCCTATATGGGTCATCTTATTGCATGTGTATATGATAGAGTGTGCATTGACTTGACGCAATACGGGTTTTCGTAAACCTTTTTTTCCACCTTACCTGCACCACCTCAAAATCCAAATGATCGCATCATGTGTATTGAATGGCTTGCAAAATCAAGACATTTTGTGTACAAATTTACTTAAAACCGGGATGTCCCATACCACCTACATCACCAGAATGGGCGACTCATTCAATCCCAAATGCTGAGATGTGGCTGGATCATTTTGTTGAAAGGATGCACGAATACGAAAGATTGAACAACATTGAAAAGGAATCGAATGCGGAAAAGTCCAAAGGGGTACCACCAATAGATTTAGCCGACGACACTTATTTTGATTCGTTTTGAATTCTTGTATAATAGGACGACTAATTGTAAATTTTTTAGATGCAAAATAGTTGCATTTTATTCCCATGCCTTATTTTTGCACATATGTCTTTTATTTGTCTATTATGATGTCCTTCTATATTGAGTTCTACTTTAAAAATGTAGCAGGGAAACTTCTAAATATGTATCTACGGAAGGCTCTTAATTATGCAGTTTCAGTGGAAGTTCCAAAGATACATATCTGGAACCAATAGTTATATGGTCGTTCCGTGGATATAGCTCCAGAAACAAGTTTGACAGGAAATGGTTGGTCCATATTCACCTAGGTTTTCTATAAATTTGGGGTTTCATTTGTTATCTTTCACACAAATGCAAAAATGTCTCAATTGTTTGAAATCAAGATCTGTTGGTATGTCGCAAGTGTCTCCTTTTCTGACAGTAAAACACCTAGGAGGACGTTCAATCTCATGGATCTAACCTCCCTCGCCGATATCATAGACGAGATCCAATGTCGCCTACCTTAAAATGATAAATGAAAGGTTGTGAAGCTTGAATATCGTTCACCTTCAGTTGACAACGACGAGAACGTTGTTTACAGCAAGTTTCAGCTCAAGAATTAAGACGGCGTTAGAGCGATGTGGCGAACGTATTTCGATTTCTAAGATAAGATTGTGCTCGAGTTGGAAGCGACGGTCCGAAGAACGGTCGATGACATCTTAGAGATGTGCAAACGTCCACTGGGCTATTGAAATGTAATATTTAAATTTCTGTCAAAATCATCAATGTAACGCCGATTTTATTTTATGAATGTTGATTTTATTATTTCAATGTTGATTTTATAATATTTTGTTTTTAGATTTTTTTTCGTAAATATGAATAAGGAAGTCTTCCGTAAATGTATCTACGAATAAAATAAAATAAAAACTGAAAAATAATGTGTTCGAAGATACATCTCCGAAAGGAAGAAGCATTTTTAAAAACGCACATGGTGCGTAAGAAACCCAAGATGTGGGATAAAATAAAATTTTAAAAATGAGAATGAGAAACATAGAAAATAAAAGGAGAACAAAAATAAGAAGTTGCAAATATGTGTTTTCAGTTTGGATGTATCAACAATGAAGATTGAAAAAGGAAAAAGTGAATGTCTAGAAAACGTGGCTTGATATAATGCATTTAACTCAGACGGATGAAAATGGTCGAAAGTTAGGTAACTTTCCCGCGTCAAAGTCACTTAATCTGCATCCGTATAAATGTATGTATGGTTAAAAAAATTTTATAAAATAAACCAAATTAACTAAATCAATCCACACCGTATTGATTTAGTTTTGTTCGGTCTTATTTCTTAAAGTTAACCGAACCAAACCAAACCACATATTTTTTCTTTTACAATTCATATGCTTTTTAGCGTCAAAACCACCCAACACACCGTAAACTATAAAGGGAAACAATTGAATACAAATCAAGCCTCAAAAGCTATAAAGTCAGACAAACAATCGACCAATCAATCAGAAGTTAAAGAGCATGGAGCGAATTTTTTTTCTGCTTTGCCATGTTATTACAAATTTTTTTCTATAATACCATCATTTTCAATAAATATACCATAATGCCATGTTTTTAAAAAAAACTGTGTTTTTGATATAAGATTGTCGCCCTTTCATGGACGGAAAAGTTAAAATATTAAAAGGTGTCGCTCTTTCAATAGACGGCAGTGTATATAAATTTGAACATTGCCTCCTTTATCAATGGGCGAGTACATTTTTAAAGTGTGCTGCCCTTGGGCGGTAATGCTTACATGTCCTTTTTTTTGTTTGAAACTATGACAATATGATATATATAGTAGAAATGTGTGACAAAATAGTATTTAATGTTTAATAATATGGCATTAAGAAAAAAAATTCACATGGAGCAGCCGATACACATCACTGTTCAAAAAAAAACATGAACAAATAACAAAGACAAAAAAATATTTACATACTCCCTCTATTTTTTTTATAAAAACAAATCTTTTTTTTTTTATAAAAACAATTTGATTTTTAAATTTATTAAATAAATAATATATTTGAACAATATATAAACTAGATACATTAATTATCTAAAAAATCTCAAAAGTTAAATTTTACTTATAACAGAGAGAATAGAGGGTGTACTAGCAAACTAAATTCCTAACTAAAGCAATTGTTTCTCTTTTGTAATCCAATTAACAAACGGAATCCTTCCCTGGTATCGGATGTATAGGTATGGTTTTTTTCAACAATCAATGATCACATTATAACACCTATAAAACAAAAAGTAATCACTAAATTCAAAATCAGTCTTGTGCCAGTATATCAAAGACAGAAAAATAAACAACTGCATAACAGGTAAAACAAAGTACTCAACAAAAAACAAACTAGGAAAAATGCAAACTGCGTCAAGAGTTTGCAGGGAATGAAGTTTGCTAATGAAGTTTGCTAAAACACAATTATCTTCAGTAAGCTCTTAATGTGCTAACCGATAAATCAAGCAACTCCAATATGAGAAAGGAAACGTCATTACTGAATCACATGAACAGGTTGGGCCTGTTTGCTTTGTATGTTGTTTTTAGGCTCCTGGTTGGTGGCCTAATCTTCTTGAATACCAAGGGGAATTTGATTTTGGAGTTGTGGAACTGCTTAGTACTCTCCCTTTTGCAAAGACTGGCTGGGATGGTGGCAGTCTTGATGATTTGAATGCATGGAAACCTAACCCTGTGACGAGATGCCATTTCGTTGTACATTGTCTCAACAGCACCGTTTAGAGTAGTATCACGGTATTCCTTGTACATATTGTGATAACCAGTGCGACTCTGGTATCTCAACCATATTCCATAGTTCTTAATCTTGGTGGGATTTTTCTCAAAGATCTGCAATCAGAAAAGGTACTATAAATGTTGATGTAAAAGTGAAATATGACTAAAATAACACACGAAAATACTGTACTCCATGTATTCTTTCATCTCAATACACATTACTTTTCCAAGATAAGTAGAATAAATGAAACAGAATACAAAAAAAAAAAAAAAATTTAAGTTCAACTTTGAAATTCGTCATACTGGAAAATCATTTAAAGATGCATAAATTTGAAAAAAAAAACATGGAAGATCACTTAAAGATATTACCACATGAGGTATCAGTGGTATGATATATCATATTTAGTCTTTAAAAGAGCTTATACTCAAAAGTTCAGTGTGCGAGTATTTAAAAAAAGTATAGAAAGCACATTTTAACCCGTCAATAAACAAGGACAGCGTGAAGACTTATTATAGTTAATGCCAAAATCACAAAGCAAACCAAACACCACCTTCCTTTCCTCAACAAAAGTTGGAAACATATTTGTTATTAACAATTTTAGTACCAGAAGCAAAGATTTTCCTGTTCTCCCCAACATTGCAGTGACATATCATCTCATTTGAACAATCATGTTTTTTTACATGAAGAAACTCTTCTACATATAAATATTATAAGTATTTAAACTAAAGAAGCAAACACATTGCATCTACAACTATTCTCTTAATTCTACTACATATAGGTTTCTTTATTACTTAGGAAAATGATTAAAAAAGAAAAACACTATCTTCAATCGACGCCAAAAAAAACGAATAGACAAGCCTCTTCCGAATACTATCAGACTTTTTTCCCAAAATCAAATCCCTACAGAGGAGAGCCTTTTGCATGTCATTATATTTTCACTCATCCAATTTCATCATAACCAATTAAAACCAGAGTAGTCATTCCCAGATAGCGGCACGGAGCAACCAACCCCAAAAGTGGGATAGCAGGGTGACTGCTCTACTTGATCATTTTTGGGCAAATTACATACAATAATTATAAACATATATTTAATATAAAATTAAACAAATAACTCAACTCATAAAATATTCATAAATCAAAGCACACATGACTCTCTACTCTTGAAGTGCATAAACACCTACGAAGAAAAGTTAAGATTGAGTCTCAAATCAAATTTGATTGAAAAGCCCAAATATGCTCCGCTATCCCGCTATTTGCCCTATAGCAGGGGCGATAAGTCATTTAACAGAAGCTCCACACACAATAGTAGAAATCTAGCTTAACTACAACCCTTCTAAATTCTATCAAATTTTAGTTTACTTCTACTATTGATAGATAAGCTTACCTCATTGATAGCCAGCACTTGTCCATTGCTTTTCTTAACCTTCTTCAACTTCCTCAAGAAATACCTGCAATTATTAAAATTTGTTAAAAACTAAATAATAACATAAAATGAAAATTCATTATGAAAAAACAATAGAAAATACTACAATTTGACAGTGAATTAGAAACGTACCAGAATTTGGATTTGGCACGAACTTCATTGGTTGCCCAAAGCTTCATGCGGTAAATCTTCGGGTGCTCATCGGTTTCCGTTGGAAGACCCCTTCCGACGACCTGGTACTGGTGAAACTGTTTCAACAGCAATGAAAACCGCATTAAAATTCAAACAAAAATCACTTCGAAATGAAAGGAATTTAAAAATTACTAGTAATATTTTCTATCACCTACCTTTGCTTTAACCATTTTTACGACGAGCACCGATTCCGATTGTTACTCGCCGCCGATTCAAGTCGCGCTCTTTTGTAAAGGATGGACGAAGAAGAAAGAAACATGATATATACGTAAAACCCTAACGGACAGGGCCTTCATTGGCCCAATGAGTTCGGCCCATTAATGAGACCCATGTTAACCATTTAAGTTATAAAAAACTGACGAAAAATCAAACAAACAGATTTAAATGTAAAAGGAAGAGTTTTTTATTGGAATACATGATTTGGGGTTAATGGCTATATATATTTTTAAGAGTTATAATTTTATATGGTTTTTAAAATAAAACTTAATTAAAAATAATCAGCTTATAAAGTTTGAATATGTTTTCAGCCTCATAAATATATATTTTTTAATTTTTTTGTTTTTTATATTTATACAAATGTATGCTTTTTGTTTTGTTTCTTATTGTTCCTCACAAAATATAAATATCAAAATTGATTAATGTGAATAAGTAATAGCAATTAATAATTTTCTTCGACTTTATAAATTAAGATGATGAATATCTAATTGATATTGATTCAATATTGTTTTGGATTGTCTGTAAGATCTAATAGACAAAAGTCTAAAGCAGCGAAGAACTGCAAACAAAATAGATAGGTAGTTTGTTTCTATTAAGCATGCAATCCTTCACGCAAATATCATGTCAATCATTCAGATTAATTTAAAGATTGACCACATTGGTGCCCTTCGCTACAACCTTCGGTGTGGTAACCTTATTGGTCCACCTCAAGTTGAAGTACCACAACGTCCATGACGAGTCGATGACGATAAGTGTGAACCTTTCTGGAGCGAAGAGGATCTACAAGGCTTTGCAGTAAGGCCAAAAAGAAAGATAAGGCAATGCGGCCTCCATTGTCGAATAACTAAGGAACATAGATGTCCAACCTCTTGGTGGTAAGGCAGGTCGTCTCGGCAAAACAAGGAAAAGTGGCTAATTCGAACAAAGTCAAAAACAACTATCATGTTTCTCATGACCAACAAGAAGTGGCATAGCCAGTTGGTCATTTTAATCAAAGTTCTCTTTTGTAAAATACACTAACATGTTACCATAAATTATTATGATTATTTGATTAAATAAAGCAAAAAAATTATTAAGTTATATTTTTCCTTTGTGATTATAAAATGGAAGGATGAGTATGAGGTTTGACTAGAGAGATCAAAGCCTCATCACAAAGACTCAAAGACATTGCCACAAATATCAAAATGTATCACTAAACAAATCAAAACCACATAATGCCAATACACGCACACACAAAGAAAGTAAACAACATAATGGAAAATAACTAACACATTCCCCCTTTTCTCTCTCTTAATAGCTAGTCATACCAGAGGCGGTGGTGAATTTATCATACGTCGACCTCAAACCAAGTTTACACTTGGGGGAAGGGAAGGGGTACTGACCCTTGGTTGGACATTATCCCTAGAGACGTCCAATAATTTTCTAGCACAGACTTGTATAAAAAGCTGAGTCCCAGAGAAATGAATTCGAGACTAGAAACAACACCACAAATCAAGTAAAATACAAGTAAGTAATAAATTGAAGTATATGTAGTATAGGATAAAAATAACAAAGATTCACATGCGTGAGGTACAAGTATGCCAATAAAAAACAAATCTAAAAAGCACTAGGATGTCAAAGAGACCACTTTCCCATTCTCGAGAGTCTGATCAATCAATCTCAAGACACTAGCATGGTAGGATAAAAATATTCCACCTACTACAAGGCACTCTCAAGGGCATCATTAACAACAAAGAAACTTTCTTGCATTAACTTTCTCAACTCCTTAGATAGATTAAGATTCTCTTGGTGCATCGCAATAAGACCATCCTTGGCCTTCTTTTGACTATCCTGAGACTCTTTTAGAGACTTCTCTAACTTTTCTATCCTTTTATAGGCAGGATCTAAAGACATGTTCATTTCTTATAAAGTGGTATCCACCTTGGATAAAGATTCCTAGGAAAAATCCAAAGCCTTGTTTTTCTCAGTCATTTTATAGACAAGCAACTTCACCATTTCAACCAAAGTGTTTGGATACTCGAAAGACTCCACAACAACTTTTATAGTCAGGAATGAGTTTGAAGCACCTTGGATATCCTCCAGGTACTGATTGTTCTTAACTATAAGGTCGTTAACTTATTCATTGAGATTTTCTTTTTCTTGTCAAAGAATGTCAGATAAGAAGGCCTTTCCCCGACCATTATCCCGGAATGTTGGAATGGATGACGCCCGAAGAGTATGGTAAACCAATTCAATAAAATCCCTTTATAGAGTTTTCTCATAGAGACCCGAGAAGTAAGTGTAATCTTCATACAAAACTAAAGACCAGAATTTGCTATCCTCTCAGGCCAAGACAAGCTAGCGACACAAGAAATAGCTTAAACAAAAGCACACCCTCATGCGAATCTAAGTCGATGACACTTATAAGGAGGTATCTCAATCTGAATTTATTTTCACTTTGGTACTAAGGCCGACATCACCCTCTTGTCGCGGAGATGGTAAGACTTTGTCTACTATGATGTTGTATAGGGAAATCCTATACTTCCATTCGAGTAGGGGATGGGTAATCTGAATAACGTGTTCAACAGTCGGACCATAGGGCATCTCAGTGGGTGTACTTGAGGAAAAAGCTCTACCACCAAAAGTCATACTCAAAATGATGTCCAACATAAAAACATTGTTCATATCCTTCCTTATTATGCGTATAAAATCTTTTCTCTTTATTGCATTTACACAATCAATAAACGAGACATCAAAGAAAATTCAATAAAATGAAATAGACAAAATAAGGTGTTTATTCCACTTATCGAATATTATCTTTCTTTGCTTCTTTAAATTGCCATCCATCAGCCTACACGTTTAAATGCACCTTTTCACTCGGTTTCTTGATGCCCCGTCATATGGGGCGACTCTACCAACGTAGCCAAGCTTTTTACATAAGGTCATTAATTAGTTTTTTAAGTAAAACTCCTATTGAGACAAGTCCCCCTCTTTGCAGATATATGATCATGCCCCTGTCAAGTAATGATTATGGTTCTAATACTTATGAAAGACGTTAGTGCATACAGATGGAAGACCAGGTTCTAAGTGGAATATCTTTGCCTGTTTTTCTTCATTAAGAGGAGTAACCAATTAAAATTTATTATTGAATTTATTCACATATTTAAAATAAGTCTTGAAATAGTTGATGTTTTTCCTCAAGGAGATCAAACTAGAATCATTTGTGTAGTCGGGGATGTTTTGAGTTTTAAAAAAATTAACGAACAACGTCATGGTCAGCTTACCTCCTTTATACTCACACTAGTGTTGAAAAACTTTGACAAATGGTCAGGTTACTTAATGTGAATTTCATGGGGAAATAAGCAAATGGTTCAATATGTTAACTTCATATTCATCTAAAAGAATGAGATCACCTATAATATAGAATACACTTTCATGAAAAGGGATACCATACCCTTCCTATTGGTTGCAAATCCCCTTATCCTCATTCAGAGAGAAACAATCACTAGTTAGTTGCAGGATCCATGTTAGTCAAAGTTTGGTAAAAAACATCTTCACGAACAAAAGGAAATATAGTCACTAGTATGTTTGGATCCACCTAGTTGCTTGAAATATCCTCATTGGCCTTCTTGATCAAGGTTGACATGTTCGTCATTATTAAAGTATTATGAAAGAAAACGAATGCGAGTACAATATAGCCAGCAAACAAGCTCGAAAACTCATTACATTATAAACCCTAGAAAAATGGAACAGGAGCAAAAGGATAATGTTGAATGCTCCTAGAGAAAAACGATAAAGGAAGCATAAATACTCTTGTTTGCAGATTATTAACATAAGAAAAAGTGAAAATGACCCTTCGATAACCCTTTATACCCTAGTTGAGTATTAAGGATCATACGGTCACCCTGCACCACCAACTGTCTATATCTTCTTGAAAATGGTTCAGAAAGAACTTAAGTACTCTAAAGAACGAGAAACATCATTATTGGCTAGTTTAGAGAGACGTGTCAATCATTCTCAGCATTATGTTACATTTTACAAATGGGTGTTTAATGTGTCTATTTATAAGAACAACAACGATCCATCTAAAGCTTCCATGCATACATACTTCATGAACAGGCCAGAATATGCGTAACAAACTATCTCCTTGTAAAAAAGAAACAAGGGCTTAAGGGAAACACTTATGGATCATCCACAAGCCTAAAAGACAAAGGCTTAATAATAAAACAACGAAAAACTGAAAGCTTAACATGTGGAGCATTTCTTTCCACTAAGTAGGCAATCTTTCATGTGAATGGCATGTCAATCACCTATATCAGTCTCGTGGCTAATTGCATTTTACACTGTTCTACATGTATTATATTGCCAACTATTTCTCCTATTTAAAAAAGAAAGTGTAACACTTTACATGTATTCAAATCCTCTTTCATTCAAATACCACTTTTCATTCTCATATTGATTTGAGAGTCGAAGCGTTGGAGTATTGATTTTAAAAGAATCAATATTATAATTTATTTTATAAAAGAATTATTAATGTCTTGTGGAACATAGATAGAGAAAGGAGAGAAAAATTAAAGTCATGTCACTTTTTGCATTATTTCTAAAATTTAAAAGACGTAAATTGAAAATGTAATTTTCATATGCTTTCTTTTTGTGTTTATTTTTACAACTTATTGTTCTTTATCTCAGGATATTTTTCCATTTTTCAAAATTAAGAAACTTCTCTCCCTTTATATTTTTCTATTTTTTTATATAATTTAATATTTCAAATTTTATTATTATTATTATTTTAATTTAATATACATGCGTGTAAAATAGTTTCACATTATTATTTAATAAAAAACTGTCAATTTACTGTATTATCAACATAATTTTAAAATACACATGTAATTTGATATAATATATGTTTTTGATTGATTGTTAATATAAAATATTTTATATTAACGTGTATATCATATTTCCTTGTTATTTTTTA